TCCATCTTCTCTTGATGCTTTCTGCATCATTCAATAATTTGCCCAGAGAATCTTTCAATAATGAAAGTCGAGACTTGAATTTTTTCATGGGTTCAAATTGTTAAGTCAAATGCAGAAAGTTAGGTAGAAAGCTTAAGTTTCTGTTAAAAGGGGTAAAACAAAGATGAGAATGGCTACACAATTGAAGGTAATCAATGTCCCCATATTGTACATGTAGATATTGCTAAATTGTTGTGTCTTCTGTGTATTTATTCAGTAACAATCAAAATAACAAGGACACACTTTTGGACAATAAATTATAAATTAAGGAAATAAAGACAATAAGTATGAAAAAAAATAAAGCATGCTTTTTGGAGATATTAAAATAATAATACCCCATGGCTCAACTTTCAGCCAAACAATGTTTTTGTTGATTTTGGTTGTTTTTCGGTTACAACTCATAAAGAACCTTGATTGCTTGAAGGAAGGAGGATTTTAAATACTTACTGATAAAGATCAAAGAATACAGCCTTCAGTATGGATTGCACCTGAATGTAAAGCAAACAAAAATGGTCACAACTGGACTAATAAATAGCAACATGATAAACAGAGAAATGATTGAAATTGTCAAAGACTTCATTTTGCTTGAATCCACAATCAATGTTTATAGAAGCAGCACTCAAGAAATCCAGTGGTACATTACACTGGACAAATCTGCTACATAAGAAGTCTTTAAACTGTTCAAGAGTAAAGATGTCAGTTTGCGGACTAAAGTGTGCCTCACCCAATCCATGGTATTTTCATTTCACCTCATATGCTTGTGAAAGTTGGACAATGAAGAAGGAAGACCATAGGAGAATCACTGCATTTGATTTATGTTGATAGACAAGAATATTCAAAGTGCTATGGACTGTCAGAAGAACAAAAAAAATCTCTGTTGGAAGAAGTACAAACAAAATGCTCCTTAGACACCAGGAGGCAAGACTTCTCTCTTCCTTCAGACACATTATCAGGAGGACCAACCCCTAGAGAAGGACATCATAAGTGGTAAAATGGATGGCCAGCGAAAAAGAGGAAGACTCCCAACAAGATGGATTGACACAGTGGCAGCAGCAATAATTGTGATAATGGCTCAGAACTGGGCCGTGTTTTGTTCTGTTGTACAGTAGGGTTGCTATTAATCAGAGCCAACTCAACATCTATGGGACTTCAGGGCATTTGTCCTCACCACACTGTGTTACTGCTCAACATTCTGTCATAGACACCAAATCAAATGTTTGTCGAGGTCCTATGTTGGGGTCCCGCCTCGACAAGGAAGTGTGGGTGTCACGAAGAAGGGAGATCTGGTGGCGAAAGTGATAGAGAAGGAGAGAGATGAAATATATACAAAAAAAAAAAAAACCACACAGATATGATGCAAGCTGGCAGGTAGACAGATCTGCAAACATATTGCCTAGCATTGCACAGCATTGCACAACATTGCATGCAGAATTCACTCTACCTCAGCCTTTTATTTACTTTTTTAGGGAGGGATTTGTTACAAAGAAAGGATGTAATTCACAAAGGGAGGATGTGATTAAGGCAGGATACAGAACTGAAATGTGAAAACAGGACATAATGATTCACAGGAACAACTTTTAAGATATTTTCATAGTTTTTTCTTAACAATCTAACATTTTATTTTTACAGAAAAAAGGTTCAATCAAGCTGTTATATATTAATTTTTAGGCTTAAATGATCTAGAGCAGCAACGTGCAGTTTCTTAAGGATACATAACATAAAGCAAGGTTCCTGAAAGGAGCCACGCTGTCTCTGTACACTTTGCAAACTTTTGTTTGTGAGCAAGATCTCAGGCACCGGGCTTCATTTATCTATACCTAGAATGCTACATTGTTCTTAATTATCTTATTCCTATATACTTTCAGGAGGAAGGAGAGCATCTGGGTTAAACTGATTATATTCAGAGGTGGCTTAATGGGGCTGCTACTGATCACCCAGGGTCTACGTATGCTGTCCCCAGCAAATGTTGGTGGTGGTGGCACCTGGCAGCCATCAGAAATGACTTTTTCCATACTTCCCTTTGCAAGGGATGGGGAACAGGCCCTTGTCAGAGGTCAGCTGAGGAGCTGGCTGCTTCAGAAACTCCAGGACAGGAGATGGGGGAGGGATGTGCTGATTACTAGGGCAGAGG